TCATGGCATCATTGGACTGGAAAAAGTGAGTGGAAAAAAAAACTAAATCATCATTTTCCATTCTCAAAATCACAACCAGTCCAACCTAGGAAACTTGTGCACTTGACTGAGCTGTGACAGACTTTCTGCTTTTGGCCACAGCAGCAAACAATTTCCAATCACCTGTACCTGCTGGAATAAAGCAATTGAGGAGCATGCAAAAAAAATCATGATTTTAAAATTTCAGCATGTCAGTATCATTATGGGAAGAATTTGAACAAGGCCATCGCTGAGTAGTTTTCCATCTGAGTAAAGGTGATTCCTCTTAAGGGAGCATGGTGGCTATTATGAGACAATCATACTGTCGATTTCACCAACTTTATGGAAATTGACATACACAAAATAAAATGTGAGTGTATGAAGATGTAACATTATTTGGTAGCCATCCCTGATGCACCACACAGCTGGAAAAGTATATGTTGGCAGATGGGGCTGATTATGTGTTGAAAAACAATACAATGAAGAAGAGGAACGAAGAGGAACTTTGATGGCAAAAGCAGCCATGACCCATCCAGATCAACAAAGGCTTGTATCCTTATGATGAAAATCTACTTGTGTATAAAAGTGCTTTTTTTCTTCAGAGCTGCAGGGATACAAGTCTAATAAACTGAAACATTTGCTGCTGGATGTTGAAACCACTATGTGGAATATTTTTTATGTAATTATGGCATTTTTAAATTTGTTTTTTGAGCAATTATCAAATGTCTAAGTGGAAATCAGTGCAGTGCAGTCTGATCTATGGAAGATGTGGAGGAGCTATCAGCATGCATTGCTCTCTGTGCTTTCTGATAGAGATCAACCACTGGGAAGCACCAAGACAATTTCAGGTCCTGTACATTGTGGTCAGTTTTTGTACACTTGAGCATTTTGTCACCATAAAATAAATATTGTTTTTTGCCTCTGCAACCTCTTTTCTTTGAGGGCAGAGAACACCAGTGCCGTTTGCAACTTCTTATTTGACATATTCCAGATTAGAAGCAGCTATAAACAGCAGCTGCTGTGAACGAGAACTGCTGCTTGTTTACAGATTGTATATACACAGCCTAGCTCTTCTTCTTTCCCTTTCTGAATGGTGACTACAGATGCTGCCACGGAGAGTTATTTCTCACACAGGCACAGAACGTTCATACTAGTTGGCTGTAGTGTGTGTGTGCAATGTGTTCAAGTGCCACTTTTTTCACCCGACTGACCCAGACAAAAGTGATGTCAAGTGACGCAACAGTTGTCCAACGTCGCTGCCGTTTATTTCTTGTTGGCTTGGTGTGTCTCTGCCCTAATAGGGATTGGTTACTACACATCAGTACACTTGTTCTGAGTGGTCACCTTTATGCTACAGTGAAACATTTCCATCCTGATGGTAATGGTCTTTTCAAGGATGACAGTATCTCCATCCATAGGGCATGAGTGTTTCTATCTCGGATAGATGACTGGGTTTCCATTTTGTGTAGACAGGTCAGCTTTTTAACTCCAACAAATATTAAACAAGTGCTCTCTAGAACAAAGAGGCTGGACGAACTCACAATCCTGTGAAAGTCAAGGTTCCTGCACACAGATCTTTATTAGGGACGCAGCATTTTTTTCTGGCCCCTGTCTGACGGTGATTGGAAATCACTGTGAGGCCCACAGGCATCTCAGATTTATGTTCTGACCCCTAAGAGGGACCTGGGATCTGTGTGAGCCACGAGACAAAATCAAATAAATTTACTAAATAATTACATATAGTTCCAACCTCAACCCACTACAATAGTGTAGTTATAAACTGATGCATCACTTTTAACAGGCAAATAATATTTAATAGTGTGGCAGTCACAGGATCCATTTTATTGTAGAACATTTTACTTTTGATGTAAACATCTGTAACTGATACTTCACACTAATAATGGCTTAGATGAGGATATGAAAACATTTTTACTGTCTGAAAATAGTTGCTCTTAGTGATGAAAGATTTCCCACCCAAATGTGCATTTCCCCTCAGCTTTCACAGAGCTTTAAAATGATTTATAGGTCATTGTTTATCTGTCTGCTCTGTAACTTTAGTGTTTGTTTTCAGTCACACAAGGTAGTTTTTTTTTTTTTTTTTTGCCCAGCAGAGAAAGCTCTAAAACCAACTGAACACTGTTATTAACCGGCGAACATCTAGCATGGAGCATTTAGTATCTAAAGAGGATATTTCCCTCAGGAAACTAAAACTAAAAGCAGAATCCTATTATTATTATTATTGTTGTTATTATTATTGTTATTATTGTGCATCTACTGTTGGATGTCTTCAGTAAATATGCAGCTGTTTGCCACATCACTCTAAAAAGGTGTTCATATGTCATTGCTGTTCCCAGTCAGGTGTTTTGCTGATATTTCTGTGCTAGTAGCATTTTGAATGCACAAATTTTACTTGTAATTGAGGATTTACACTTGTACGTAAGTAAAGATTGATTCTTGGGAAAAACAAGATTATAATGTCAATGTGGTTAGCTTTATTTCCCCTCATCCCTGTGTTGTTGTGACTTGCTTGGACTCCACACGTTTTCAAAATCATTTTCACTGGGTGCAGTCTTAGATTCATCTGTGTTTAATGGGTTTTGACGTGATAAAGGTCAGGGTTCCACTGCAACAATCTGTTCAGGGACTTCCTTAGGAGACACACCTCCTCTGGCACATAACATCATTTCCTGTCTCATGTGATGACATGTGGGTTATAATCAACTACATTGGAGGGTGGAGATACTGGAATACATGCACGTGCAAGCAGACATGTGTGCGCCTTGCACTAACGCACACACATGTCCCGTCCTTGAGGACCAGTTCTGGCTCTCAGAAATACTTGAACATTTGCACATAAAAGGGATAAAAACTGAACTCACTGGCTGTAAACAATGATATACTGTGAGTTTGACTTCAAAGAAAGCTCTTGATGAAATGCTGTCTTCTTGTGTTTGTCATGCATCAGAAAATTTTGTATGAATGTACGACACATGGCTACAAATGGCACGTTTTATCGGCTGGCCTGTGGTGCACGTGATGTTAATGTGTAGTCTGCCATTGGCAGAAAATATATTTATAGATAGGATGATGAAAGACATTGTTTCCATGGAATATAATGGCAGCCACTATATGTAATCATAATTTTTGGATACATGTGGTTGATGTGATTGAGGGAATTGTGTGTCTGTGTTAAATCACATTGACTAAAATATGGAAGTCAGCTCATTCTGTGGAGATCTGTTGCTGCTCTGTGCATTATCAGGTTTCTGGTGATCAGTGCAGGAGTGTTTTTGACTTGTCAGCATTAAACTGTCTTTGTCATTTCTTGCAATGTACTGCACATGTTATACACATGAAACTCTCACTTCTATTGGTCCGGACCATATGTTTTGATGCATAATAATTATTTTTGTTGTATTCTTTCTTTCATTATGCCACTTGCAGTGCAGACCTTTGGCTCACCGTTGGTGAGCATATGTCGCCCTTGTCTTCGTGGTGTGTCCTGCACCATTGGAACTAGTTGGACCCTGTCTGCAGCTTTTTGGCAGATTCGGCATGTTCAATCGGCAGCAGACCTTGTCAGCAAGAGAGACCACTCAGATTGGCTGTTCAGCTTAGTGATTCGATGCACAACAAGAGAACAGTTCAGGAAGGCTCCTTCAGCTTGTCTTTGTAGTATCCATGATTTCACCCATTTTGTGCAGTTTCTCCTTGTTTTTCACTTTCACATCCTCCTTTCTTCAAGGGCAAAGACTGGCAGTGCCATTTGCACCTACTTATTAGACGTATTCTCAATTAGAAGCAGCTAAAACAGCAGTTGTTGTGAACAAGAGCTGCTTTGTTTACAGATTGCATATCCGCAGCCTAGCTCTTGTTCTTTTCCTTTCTGAATGGCGAATATAGATGCTGCCACCTGCGGTTAGGGAGAGTTGTGATGGAACATTTCTAACGTGATGGTAGTGGTCTTTTCCAGGATGACAATGCCTCCATCCATAGTGCATGAGGGATCAGTGAATGGTTTGATGAAGATAAAAACTATGTGAATCATATGCTGTGGCCTTTGCAGTCACCAGATCTCAACCCAACTGAACACATCTCAGCCACCATCGTCATAACACCAAATGAGGGAATATCTTTTGGAAGAATGGTGTTCATCCCTCCAGTAGAGTTCAGACACCTCAATGCCAAGGTGCACTGAAACTGTTTTGGTGGCACATGCTAGCCCAACACTTTACTGAGACACTTTATGTTGGTTTTTCTTTTCATTTGTCACCTGTCTCTACAGTCCAGTGTCAGCATTCATTGCCAGCATGGGAAGTGAAGGCCTGCCCTGTAAGTAGGTGGAAAGTAGGGGTGTGAAGGTCAGGGTGCTGGATCTGCAAGTAACATGTCTGACTGTTCTACTCAAGTACTGCTTTAGTTGGCTGACCATAACTATACCTTACCCATATGATATTTGCCATTGCCACAGTATTTCCCTAACCTCAACCATAAAAACATTTACATTAAGTAGAAAAACCATTGACAATGAGAGTAATCTAGGGTTTTGCTGAATCATCCAGTACTGATGTGTTGTTTGGTGATAAGGTTCGTGCAGAGACAATTGGAAACCTGGATACTATTAGAATCATTTGTATGTGGATATAAATAATCTGATTTCTGAAGCTACATGTAAATCATATCCTGATTATGAAGGGGAAGATAAAATAAACAAAGAAAAATGCCAAAAGGCCTCTGCAGATGGAAGGCAGGAGTGGTAGGGAGTCTGGGGACACACCAGATTAAGCAGGGGAAAAAAGAAAAAAAAGGTTGAGGAGGGAGTGAAGCTTAGAGAAAACTCTCTCTTCTTTTCCAGAGTGAGTGAAAAGACAAGGAGAGATGGGGCAGGGAAAGGAGAGTGGGTGTGTCTGCTTCTATCTGTCCCCTCCCTCCATTATTGAGGTATAGATGGTGCAGGAGCAGCCCACAAGTCCGATCCAGTGAGCTGCACTAGTCCTGAGAGTAGTAGTCCGGCCACCCCACAAACATCCAGCCTGACTTCTGCAGCTGCAGCACATGCCCGTTACTCAAGATTCATACAGTCAGCAAAGTAACACTAAGTGACCTCTTCGTGTTCCTCTGTCTGCAATCAGATTGCAGCAGCTCGTTTCACCTGAGACTCAGAGTCTGGCACATCAGAGATGATGCATTCGCACAACTTTCTGGTCCTTCTTTTCATGGTCTTCATTGCTGGGATAGTTCTGTCTAGTGGCTTGACTCCCCACAGGAGCAGAGGTAAGTGGTGAATTGTGGTAAATGGTCTTAAATGGTCTTATACTTGTATAGCGCCTTTCTATGCTTTTAGAGCACACTCAAAGTGCTTTCACATTATTCGGCCATTCACCCATTCGCACTCCCAAGCACTCATGCATTCACACACCGGTGACATCACCGGGAGCAACTGGGGGTTCAGTGTCTTGCTCAAGGACACCTCGACATGTTGACTGGACAAGCCGGGAATCAAACCGCTAATCCTCCGGTTAGGAAACGACCGGCTCTACCTCCTGAGCCACAGCCAAGGTGGTGACACCTGCATTTGATTGCTTTACCCTGAGGCATCCAATTCAGGAGACACTTTTAACTGATGCATATTACTCAGTCATCATGGGTTTTCTCTGCTTGTCTGAGTCCTCTCGCAGTCTTAAGATCCATGCAAGTCAGTTGGGCTGAAGACTTGAGATGCTCTTACTCTATGATTGAATGTGAACATCACTGTAATTCTAGGTTAGCCCTGTGATGAACTGATGGCTTTCCTATGACCTTTCTGCGCATCCTGCCAAACTCCTGATAGCCTTGGAAAAACATTATGCCTTGGGATATCGTTTTCAAGGATAAATGACAAGATTAAGGGCTTTGTCACCATATGGAGATGACCATCTAAATTTTAGTATATTTTGTGATAGATGCATTTAAATCTCATTAATAGCATCACAAAGTTGGAAGTGCCTCGTTTGAAACAATGAAAATGTTTTTGTGGTTTTTAATTTGCAGAAATCCCCAAATTCTCATCCTCAGGCGTATTTCCTCCTCCATTTATATTGATATCTGCTAACATGCTGTACTGTTACTACTTGTGGTTGCCACATTTGGATTTAATGAAGCTCTGCCTTGCGTTTTCCCACAGACCTGTTTTCTGTGTCCAGAAAACAAAGCAAACTGTGTCTTATTGTTGTGGTGCACAAAAGTCTAATTCAGTGCACAAGTATAGTGAAACTGGGTGAACAAGAGGAGTAGAGTGAATTCTATTAGCTGATTACATTTGTGACTTGTGAAGTATTTTGTACCTGAACTGATGATTAAAGGCGCAAAGCACTTAAACAGATTCAGTAGGGGATTTGAAAGGATGTGGTCTCACAAAATGAAGTAGTTTGATTCTGATTTTGTGAAATGTTGTTGAACCCTAAGTCTAACTCTTGTTGAGGACATGTTTTACTGTACAATATTTATTGATTTTCTTTTAAGTGTAATTACCTCACTAAAGTGTATATGCTGGCACAGAGTGAGTATTGTTTTATTGTATTTATATAGTGGTACCCTGAAGTGCATCTAAATTTCATTGTATGTTTCGTACAATGACAATAAAAGTATCTCGTCCTAAAAGGAAAATCGAATTTGCTGTTGTGGGCCACCTGCCAGGCTTTAAAAGTGTGTGTGAGCTCTGTTTTTACAATTGAGATACAAATGAGATATGCAGACAGACACAGTGAAATGAGGCAGTTTCTGCCCAAAAATTTTAATAAGTGTTTCCAAGTTGGCGGTCAGGGGACAAGCTTGTATGCAATCTCATGAGATGGATTTCCTGGCACTGTGCCCATCAAGAATACAGTCTGAGTTTATAGGTCAGCAAAATATTTTTATTTGTTGCATCAGACAAAACATTTGTTTTATTACAACATTACACCTCTTTTTTTTTTTTTGGTAAATCCTCTGAAGAGAGTCTTTCCAATTAAACAGCGCAAGCAATATATTTCCAAAATAGCAACAGCAACATGAAGGTTATCACATCATTTTTGCACTATATAAAACATTCACAAACCAAGTCACTTTGGAGTTTTTTTTTTTTAATTAAAAGTTTGAAGATAACCAGTGTCTGAGCGCCTAATCACGTCTTATGCTGTGTTTTCTTTTCATAAAACATTGGATCAGTTTTAATGAGTAGATTATGGCGTATCCTGTCCCCTCTGTCCAATAAGGGTTCTCATGATATTCTTGGAAAGCAGCAAATTTTCCACAGTTTTACAGATCGTCTCACTGCTGTGTCAAATCACACACACACTTAACACATGCACATTGAATTCTGTTTTCCATCTCGCAGTCTATGCTTTGCAGCCATGCTCTGTTTTGCAAGTTAAACTTAGGTGCCTTTCATTGTAGTAAAAATAATTTGAGATGGGCAGCCTGGAGTCGGTTTACAGAGGTAAGCCCAGAGGAGAAGGCTGCTTCCAGTGCATAAATTGCTGACTGAACATGGCTTGCAGACAAATCTCAGTGTGTAGCTTTTGGAGCTAGATGAAAGGAGCTATGTGTGCTTTGCTTTAGGAGGATAGTTTAATCTCTGTTCTTCTTGGATCAAGCTCACAGTTTTAGAATGAAATGTAATGGAAAAAGTGTGCTTATTTTTGCCTCAGATATAGCATAATAGATTGACTTGACTAGTCTATGCACTGTTCGTTAATCTGTTATTCCCTAGGCTTTTAATGTGTTTGTGCTTTAAAGCATTTTTCTTTCAGCATTTAATATGAGGCAGGTAAATGTGATCAAGTTTAAAATCTTTTAATACAACAAATAATTGATCACTAACAAACTCAAGAGCAATATATGGTCCCCTTTAAACTACAGGCTAAGCATGGCCTCATTTCATGTACAGATTAATGTGAGGGAAATTTAGAAGGCTAGGGGAAGAGCAAATTAATTAAAAGCACTGTAGGAGATTGATGGATGGATGGCTGAAAACATGTAAGACAGCAGAGACTGAGTGAAGTAGTGCCACAGGGAAAGAAAACAGCGGTTGCTCTGTCAGGCTGATACAAGTGTCAAAGAAATACAGTGCCTATTAAAAAGTATTAACCCCCTTGGATGTTTTGCCCTTTTATTGATTTTATAAATCAGTCATGGTCAATATAATTTGGCTTTTATGACATTTTTTTTATAAAAGAAACCTCTAATATCAAAGTGAAAACAGATTTCTACAAAGTAATGTCAATTAAATAAAAATATGTAATGGGAATTAAGTGATTGCATAAATATTCACCCCCTTCAAGTCAGTATTTAGTAGATGCACCTTTGGCTGCAATCACAGCACTGAGTCTGTGTGGATAGGCCTCAATCAGGCTTGCACATCTGGACACTGCAATTTTACTCCATTATTCTTTGCAAAAGTGCTCAAGCTCTGCCAGGTTGCATGGGGATCGGGCGTGAACAGCGCTTTTCAAGTCTAGCCACAAATTCTTTATTGGATTGAGGTCTGGGCTTTGACTCGGCTACTCTAAAACACTGACCCTGTTGTTTTTAAACCATTTCTGTGTAGCTTTCACTGTATGCTTCGGGTCATTGTCTTGCTGGAAAATGAATCTTTTCCCATACTGTAGTTCTCTTGCAGACTGAATAAGATTGTCCTCCAGGATTTTCCTATATTTTGACACATTCATTTTACCCTCTACCTTTCCAAGCCTTCCAGGACCGGCTGCCGAGAAGCATCCCCACAGCATGATGCTGCCACCACCGTGCTTCACCGTGGGGATGGTGATGTGTAGTGTTTGGTGTCTGCCGGCCAAAAGGCACCATTTTGGTCTCATCAGACCAAAGAACTTTCTTCCACTTGCCCATGGAATCTCCCACATGCCTTTTGGTGAACTCTAGTCAAGATTTAATACGAGTTTTCTTCTACAGTGGCTTTCTCTTTGCTGCTCTTCTATAAAGCTTTGACTGGTGAATAACCCGGGCAACAGTTGTTGTATGCAGAGTCTCTCCCATCTCAGCTGCTGAAGCTTGTAGCTCCTTCAGAGTAGTTATAGGTGTCTCAGTGGCCTCTCTCACTAGTCACCCAGTTTGTGAGGACGGCCTTATCTACCCTTTTAACCACATACCGTTGTTTCAAAACACCCACCCAAATTCTTAAGGTATTTTCCGAACCCTCATAGACTCGTCTAACAATGCGGAATCAAGAGTAATCTGGTTCAGTCTAGGAAAAATATAATTTCAATCAGTTTCTTGGCTCTGTCCATTCATTTCATAAACACAGATGGTGACAGAAAATGAAGTCGTCACTCTGGCTTTGTGTGAACATAGATTGACTTTCACCAGAAATGGTGAGAGACAACGTCATGCCCTGTTGCTGTCTTATCTTAACTGAAAAGAAGTTGTTTTACCTCGAAAAACTGACCAAAATGATATATTTTTTTCTGAACTGGAACAAATTATTTTTGATTCCGCATCATTAGAAGAGTCTATGATGATTTGGGAAATACCTTCAGAATTTGGGTGTTTTATGAAAGTCTCAGTTTTGCAGGTTTACAGAAGATTATCTCTGTGACAAGTAATGCATGAGAGGCACACGCTGGGGCTACCGGGCTGTGTTCGTTTTGTGTGTGTGTGTGTATGTGTGTGTGGTGGGAAGAATGTCCTCTACAATCACAGATTTTTCTGATTGATTCAATGGATATGTACGTGTGTGGCACATGGAATATGTAGAGGAACATATTGCACCATTAGGAAGATTTTATACCCTCACCCCCACTGTGATGTTCAGCTGCTCAAAATTCTGTCACTTCCATCCACCAGAACTACTGCATTCATTTCAACAGCAGCAGAAAAGTTATTTTCCATTGCATACTCTATTTTAAAAAGAACACGAGCCTTGTAGTCTTATTCCAGTTTTTTGAGGTTTTGCTACAGATATTTATAGTTCATTAGTTCACACATCAGCCTCAATGGAAAAGTCTTGAGATGATCTCAGTGTGTTTATTCTCAGAGCATTTACTTTAATCCAGTCCTCTAAGAGCGGAGAGAAGCAGAGGACTGTAAGATGGGTGCCATGATGCAGTTCTGTGGTTTGATCACCTAAATCAGGATGTTGGTGCCAAAACTTAACAAAGTGTACAAAGGAATGTTTTACCCAATATTTATTTTCAAACACCAGACATTAATAAAAGTATCATGTTGCACTACAGTTGAAAGTGAAGAGAGCACGTTACACTGACAATCCCATTAACCTACTCCGTTTTCGAAGGATCATC